ATGGGAAAGTGTTCAACATCATTAATCATCAGGGAAATGCAAATCAAACCCATAATGAGATATTACTTTACATCTGTTAGAATTGCTATTTTCAAAACACAAAAGATAATAAGTGTTGGTAAGGATTTGGAGAAAAGGGAATCCCTGTACACTGTTGGTGGGATTATAAATTTGTACAACCATTATAGAAAACAGTTTGGAGGTTCCTCAAAAAACTGAAAATAGAATTACCATATGACCCATCAATCCCACTTCTGGGTATATATCCAGAGAAAATGAAATCGTTATTTTGAAGAGATATCTGTACTCCCGTGTTCACTGTGACATTATTCACCATAGGAAAGATATGGAAACAACCTAAGTGTCCTTTGACAGATAAATGAATAAAGAAAACGTGGTGCACGCACATGTAAACACACACACACGGTAGAATATTATTCAGCCTTAAAAAAGAAAGAAACCTTATGTTTTGTGACAACATGGATGAACTTGGAGGACATTATTACAAGTGAAATACGCCAGACACTGAAAGACAAATACTAAATGATCTCACTTATATTTGGAATCTAAACCAGTTGAACTCATAGAAACTGAGAGTAAAACGGTGGTTGCCAGGGGTTGGGTGGAGGGGCGGATTGGGGGATTTTGGTCAAAGGGTACAAACTTTCAGTTATGAAATGAATATGTTCTGGAGATCTAATGTACAGCATGATGACTATAGTTAGCAATAATGATTACTTGAAATTTGCTAAGAGTAGATCTTAACTATTTTCATCACCAAAAATAAAACAGCAGCAGCAACAAAAAACCAGGTATCCATGTAAGGTGATGGATACCTTAATTAGCTTGACTGTGGTAATCACAATGTTTACATATATCAAAACATCACATTGTATATCTTAAATATCTATAATTTTTATTTGTTAACTATACCTCAGTAAAGCTGGAGGGGAAAAAAAAGACCTAAATAGAAGTTCAGGGAAGACATTTCAAGTAGGGAGAATGGCTCAAGCAAAAGTGCCAAGGCAGGAAATCATATGGTATATTTACATGCAGCAAATCTATAGCTGGCATAGAGGGGATATTTAGATGAGCAATGGTAGATGAATTTGCAGGAAGGGAAATATTCCACTAAGACCTTTGAACTCTTTTCCCCAGACAGCAAGAAGCTATAGAAGATTTTTAAGGGAGTCACAACTTGTGGAATTTAAGGAAAATTAATCCATCAGTAGTTTGTAAATACATAAGCTGATAGTAAACTTCATGAGGGCAGAAACTGTATCTGTCTTGTCTACCATGGTCTACAAAGCACCTAGCACAGTGTCTGGCATGAGATCTAACTCAATAGAGATAATTCATGAAATAATAAATGAAGTATTGGCAAACTTCAGTTACAGGACTGTTGCACAAAACACCCAGTGTTATAAGCTGAGACGAGGGTGGTAAAGGAAAGGAATGGTTGCACATGAGAGACTTCATATGGGAGAATCTATTATGTGTGGTGACTAATCACATGTTGAGGGAGAGAGAGAGGCCCAGGATGATGCTTGGGAGATAAAGTCCAGAAGAGAAGCTGTTTGGGTAAAACGATGATGAATTTGGCATCATTTATAAATTTATTCATTCACTCATTCATTGATTTTATGCATTCAACGGACAGCATATCAGGCAGAAGAAAATCATAAATAAAGGAACTAAAGCAGGAAAGAGCTTGGCGATTTCAAGGCATTGAAAAGAGGACAGTGAAGTGGAGCTGGCATGCAAGGAATGGAGCATAGCCACGTGAGATCAGAGAGCATGCTTGTGAGTGCGACTTGGTGGGAAACGGAGGCCTCGAACTCTGCTGAGAGGTTGGGTTGGGAGATAACTTTATTACTAGTAGAACTTAAAGACAAGACCTCAGTGGCTTTCAGAGATTGTTTGGCTCTGAGATATTTACTCAGGAAACCTGGTGAAATGCTTCTCAGGTACCAACTTCAAAACTGAATCTAGCATTTTGTTCCAGGACAATGTAGCAGGGATGGTTGTGTGAGTGCCAGTTCAACAATCCTTCACTATAGTCACTTGGTTATAGGCATTAAACATCTTAATTTTACATTTATGTGTCAAAATATTAAAACCAACCGACCTTTATACTTAGGGGAGGCAATAAAGTATTATGGTTATGAGCTCTGAAACCAGACTACCTGGGTTTAAATCCTAGTGCTGCCACTCCCTAGCTGTGTGACTTTAGAAAAGTTATTTAACCTCTCTGTGTCTCATACTCTTCATTTTGAAAATGATGGTAATAATAGTGCCTCCTTACTATGTTTAACATGGCATATTGGATGAAATGGTTTGTGTCAAGTATTAAGACTAGTGTCTGGTATATATTAATAAATGTTTAATAAATGTTAGTATTGTTAACATTAGTGACACAGTCACCTTACACAAAACATAAATTGAGATATAAAAAAATACAAAATAAAACTTTTGGAAATGTTGAAATTGGATGAATATATTTTTCATGTGGGAAAGATATAAATTTTGGGGAGCCAAAGGGTAGAGTGCTCTGGGTTGAATAGTGTCCCTCCAAAATTTATGTCTACCCTGCACCTGTGAATGTAACCTTATTTGGAAATAGAGTTTTGGGAAATGTAATCAGATTAAGATTAAGTTTTACTGGATTAGGATGTGCTCTTAAATCCAATGACTGGCATTCTTACAAGAGGCAGAAGAGGAGACACAGAAAAAGAGGAGAAGGCCATGTAAAGACACAGGCAGAGATTGGAGTATACAGCCACAGCGTCAAGGGACACCAGAATCCAGAAGAGATAAGGAATCCAGAAGAGATAAGAATCCAGAATCCAGAAGAGATAAGGATTCTTCCCTAGAGACTTAGGAAGGAGTCAGATCCTATTGACACCTTGTTTTCAGACTTCTGACCTCCAGAACTGTGAAAGAAGAAATATATGTTGTTTTATGCCATAAAGTTTGTGACAATTTGTTAAGGAAACTAATACAGAAGAAAACATGAAGGAAAAACAATATGACGTTGGTCTGGGCAATGATTTTTTGGATTTGATCCCAAAAGTACAGTCAACAAAAGCAAAAATGGGCACATGTGGTTACATTAAACCAAAAAGTTTTTGCACAGCAAAGGAAACAGTTATCAATGTGAAGATAGTATGGATTGGGAAAAAATATTTGCAAGCCATATATTTGATATGCGGTTAATATCCAAAATATATGAGGAACTCAAACAACTCAATAGCAAGAAAACAAATAGCCCACTTAAAAAATGGACAAGGGACCTGAATAGGCATTTCTCAAAAGGAGACATACAAACGGCCAAGAGATATATGAAAAATTGCTCAACACTGTTAATCATTAGAGAAATGCAAATTAAAACCATGATAAAATATCACCTCACACCTTTCAGAATGACTGTTATCAAAAAGAGAAGGCCAGGTGTGGTGGCTCACTCCCATAATCCCAGCGCTTTGGGGGGCGCTGAGGCAGGAGGATTGCTTGAGGCCAGGAGTTTGAGATTATAAGGAGGTATTATCACGACATTGCACTCCAGCCTGGGTGACAGAGGAAGACTTTGTCTCAAAAAAAAGAAAAGAAAAAGACAAAAAGATAACAAGTTTTGGTGAGAATGTGGAGAAAAGGGAAGCCTTGTATGCTGTTGCTAGGAATTTAAATTAGTACATGCATTATGGAAAACAGTATGGAAGTTCCTCAAAAAACTAAAAATGGAATTACCATATGATCCAGCAATCGCACTTCTGGGTATCTACCCAAAAGATTTGAAATAAGTCTGCATTCCCATGTTCATTGCAGCACTATACACAATAGCCAGATTATGAAATCAACCTAAGTGTCCATCAACAAATGAATGATTAAAGACAATGTGTATATATACACAGTGGCATATTATTCAGCCTTCAAAAAAGAAAAAGATTCTGTGATTTGTAACAACATGGAGGAATTAAAGAACATCATGCTAAGTGAAATGAGTCAGGCAAAGAAAGACAAATACTCCATGTTTTCACTTATATGTTGACTCTAAAACAATCAAACTCATACAGCAGAGAGTAGAACTGTGGCTTAGGGGTGGAGGGGATGGAAAGATGATAGTCAAAGGGCACAAAGTCTCAGACAGAAGGAATAAGTTTGTTTTTTTTTTTTTGAGATCTATTACACAGTGTGGTGGATATATTTAATAATAGTGTATTGCACATTTCAAAACTGCTAAGAGAGTAAATTTCAAATGATCTCACCACAAAAAATAAGTACTTGAGGTGATGAATATGTTAATTGTTTGATTTAATTATTCCATATTGTATTCATAAATAATATCCCTTTGTATTTTATAAATATATGCAATTATAAATTATCAATTTATAGTAAAGTTTCTAAAAAAGAAATAAACATTAAAAAGAGACTAATATAGATATTTTACTCAGGAAGGGTCATAGGTATCAGTATCCTTTGTTTGACAGATTTCTCTCCACACTGGTTATACCCATTTGCACTCTAACCAACAGTACACAGAAATTCCTACATTTCTGCCAACACTTGCCATTACGCAGGTTTCTAATTTTTTACTAGCCTAACAGGTACAAAGACATATTTCATCATTGCTTTAATTTTCCATCTTCGTGATTTAAAAAAAAAATTGAGTATTTAATGGTGTGCTTGTTAGCTTTTTAGGTTTTCTTTTTTGAGAAATTGCTTTTTCATGCCTTTATTGACTTTCCTACTGGAGCTGATTTCTTTTCTTGTTGACCTGCAGGAATTCCACATATATTCTAGTTGTAATCCCTCATTGGTTTTGGACATTGCAAATATATTCCCCTATTTTTTCAGTTGTCCTTTAGTTTTGTCCATAGTGTCCTTCATTGAACAGAAGTCCTTAATTTATTTAATTTTCTCTTTGGAAAAAGAGTTTGTAAACTTCCATGCCAGATTATACTAACTCCTTTTTTTAGGCTTTTTTAGGCGTTGGAACTTACTAAATGAAATGACAATGTCATGTCAGATGACTTGTTTTCGTTCACTTGCTCTTCAACTGTTGCACATTTTTGTTTTCTGAATCCAGTAAACCGTGCAATCATGTATCTAGCAAAAGGCAGGAAATGAGGCCTTATTCAATAACAGAAAACACTGCAACTAATCAGGAACATTTGGGACTCAGCACATTTCCCTGCAGTCAGGCTGCTTACATGTGGATTTGATGTCATATGGTTGGGCCAGAAGTTATAATCTCCTCACCTCACTACCCCCTTAAGGGGCTTGCTGAGAAACATCAGGACAAACAGCAAACAAGTCTTTGGCAGTGCAGGTAACAGCACGTGTGAATCATATAAAGCGAGAGATGCAAAGGAGCTCGGGGATCATCCAGTTCTACCCCCTCATTTTACAGAAGCGGGAACTGAGATCAAGGGAAATAAAGGGGCTTGTCCAAGTCACACAGCTGTCAGGGAATTGCTGGGACTATAACCAAGACCTCTTGACTTCCATTTAGCGTGCTTTCCATTTTTCTGCCTCCCCCAAGAGAATGTCAGAAATCATTTTTTGGAGGGCTCTGGACCAGATCCAGGGCTTAATCCAGGAGGTTAGTGGTCTTCAGAATGTAGACCCACTCAACCTCTCCAACCTTGTCTCTGGCCATTCTAGGTTAGTCTCTTGCCTCATTCCTTTAAAACTCCATCTTCTATTCTTACCTGTAAGCCTCTGCACATGTAGTGGTCATACATGATCATGCCTGGCATCCCCTCTTCTCCCTGCCCATCTCACCCTTCAAGTGCTTGTCCTTAGAGGCTCAGTACTGCCTCTTACATGCCCCTGCTAACTAGCATTATTCTCTCCCTTATTTAGGTTTTTGTAATGTCTGTGGTCTACACAAATACAACTTAGGCTTAATTATATGCTGCCTTTTTGTCTGGAGTGTTTCAATGGTACAAATCACTTAATATCCCTGTGTCTCACTCAGTTTATTCACTAATGAAAAAGGAAGAGTTGATTTCATTTCCAAGGATGCTTCTATATCTAACATTCTATGTCTCTATAAGATTTTAAAGGCCTCAAGGAAAGGGACGCTTTCTTCTATTTTTCTTGCAATTCCCTTGGCCTTGTGGTTCTCAACTGGGGACAATTTTGCTCCTCAGGGGACACTTAACAACGTTTGGAGATATTCTCTGTTGTCCCAACTGGGCAGGGAGGTGCAACTGGAATCTAGTGGATAAAGGCCAAGGATGATGCTAAACATTCTACAGCACAAGACAGTCCCACACAAAAAAGGGATTTTCCATCTCAAAATGTCAATAATGGCAAGGATGAGAAACCCTGCCTTGGTCTCTAACCCAACACCATAGGCACAGAGTAGACACTAAACCAACACTTTCATTGTTCAGTCAAAGAGCATTGACCTCATAGAAGGGACACTGCTGGATATGGAGCTGTCATGGGGAATGAAGAAAAGGAAGTAAGCACTTAGGCAGAATGAATGCCAAGTCAGAGAAGAGAATCCAATTTTCCTTAGTGAAGAAGAAGGGGTGAGAGTATAGTAAAGAAGGGAATGTTGGGTGGATGAAAATTGAGAGGAGCTGAGAAGTTATCTACTTTGTAGGAGGTGTCGATTTAAATAGCTCATCTTTTAGATATCTCTAGGGGAAGAGCTTGTGATTGTGGTAAATAGTGGTAATGATAACACTGGAACACATGAAGTAAAGTTCTGGGAATTATTATGTGTGCTGTCAAGAAGACTTGTGTTTATTCTTACCTTCCTTTGAAATAAGGTCTGGGTGATGAAAGTGGCTTTCATTTATAGAATAGTCAAGGAAATTCATTCTATGAGCTCTGAGGACTGACCTCCAGAAAAATCACAGGCTCTTTTTCCAGTCCCCTACTCAGGGTTTTCTGGGGATGGGGATGATGGATGACTAAATGCCTTCAGTGACTGCTCCAGCCTCCGCCTTGGCTGTGCTCCCAACGACCTCCCTCATCATGCCATGCCTGACTTTCCCCTTAGGTTGCAACATTCCAGAAAGCCAATTCGTTATTTATTTGTTCTTCTCCCCTCTCCTCTTCATCACTTAATAAGTATAAGAAATACTTTAGACATACAAAATGGAAAGCTCTCCAAAATGTCGGGATTGGAGGGAAAATCCATGACCTAAAAAATCTCTTGAGATGAACATCATTATTCTCAATCTCTCTAAACACTTGGCAGGAGATTCCATTGTTCGTTCTCCTGGCTACCAGAGGTATTTGGCAAGGTTTCTGTTTAGATTTCTTTGGGGGAAGAAATGCTTAAATTAAACATTGAAATTCTTGAGAATATTTTGGTTCCTTGTAAACTCTTCTAATAACAATTACTCTTGAGTGAGTTATTATTTGCAGCTCCTCAATGAGAAAAAGTTGTCCTGAGGGGGACTTCCAACAGTTCATTCCAGGAGATCTCTGGGTCCATGGTCAAGTGCAGTGCATTGTATTCTATAACAGGCTGAAACATAAGCATTACTCGTGAGCCACTTTTTTGTAGTTTAGCTCTTTCTCTGTTACATAGAGTTATAAATTGGATCCATAGAAAAATGAGTTCTTTTCAGCTAAACATACCTGGGTTGCTTGTCTAGGATTTCCAATAACAGAAAAATCAAATAAGGGAATTGAAGCACTTCTTTGTCTTTTTAAAACTTTCCTGTAAATGTTTTTGGAAAGATATTCTGGGGCAAGGACTGAATGTCACTTTTTTAGCCAGAGCAGAGATCGACATATAATAGAAATTTAATAAATGAGTATCTTTACTAATGATGTATTTCTTGGGAGATAAATGTGTGACATTTCTTGGTTAAATTATCTGGAAAAAACATGAGAAGGAGTTATAAAAAGATGGCCCAGTCAACATATTTCTGTTAGTCTGGTGAATTTTGTTTTTTCACCCATTCTTCAAGGTTGCCTTTTCCACCTTCCATCCTGGAATAATAATCGATAAGGAAGTGAGTGTAGGAAAATTGAATTACCACTATAACTGAGATCAATGCATTGGTGGGGCTCTGCATACGATTTTTTTTTCTTCCCCCTTTTGTATTTACCTAAAAATACAATGCCCAAAGAGTTAGGGCAGCTCTATGTTTTGTCTCTGTTTTTACTTTCATAGGTGTTTTATGTCTGCTTGGCTGGGCACAACTGAGGCTGGTTTTACAAGAAGGTACCCATAAATCTCAGAATAGGAAAAGATGAGTAAACTTTTACCCTGAAGGCAGGGTTTGTGGAGGGGAAGAGAGGGAGATCCCCTCTGCATTTTATGAGAATGCATTATTTAGCAAGGCTCTATTTGAAAATCCTCCTGATTCCTTATATGGAAAGATAGGGCTCAACTACTAGCCACCTCTTACCTCATCAGGAAAATGAATTTGCTCACTAGTTGATTTTTGAGCATCTCACTGTCATTCTGTTCTTTCCCTGAATAAAAAGGATAATAACTTTTGCAAATAACATGAAGAAGCATATGGTAGGCAGAATTCTAAAATGGACCCCAAGATTCTGGACCTCCTCCCACATATATGTCCTATATAATGAATATGCAGGACTATGAGTGTGATAGATTTTACTCCTGTGTTAGGTATGTTAAATGGCACAGTTGACTCTAAGAAGAGAGATGATATGGCAGCCTGACCAGATAACACAAGCCCTTTAAAATCAGAGAGTTTTCTCCAGCTGGTGGCCAACAAGGAAGCTGGAGATTTGAAGCAGAAGAATTTGATATATTGTTGCCATCCTAAAAATGGAAGAAGCCAATGGTAAGGAATGTGGGTAACTTCTAAGAGCTGAAAGTGGTTCCTGGCTTGCAGATTTTTAGTTCTATAGCTGTAAGGAAATGAATACTTCCAATAGCCAGAGAGCTTGGAAAAGAAGCCTAAGCTTTAGAGGAGAATGCAGCCCACCTTAATTTCAGCCAGGTGAGACCCTGAGAAGAGAACCCAGCAAGTCCAGACTTCTGAGTTATGAAAATCATGAGATGACAAATTTAAGTTTTAAGCCACTAAGTTTGTGGTCCTTTGTTACACAACAACAGAAAACCAATATGAAGCAGGAGAAAATCTTTGGGAGAAGAAAGCTAAGTAAAAACAATATCCTCATATTTGGTTCTAAAGCAACATTATTGTGATGGTCCATTTTATGTGTCAACTTGGCTATGCTACAGCACCCAGTTCTTTGGTCAAACCCTAGTCTAGATGTTGCTGTGAAGGTATTTTGTAGATGTGATGAACATCTATAATCAATTGACTTTAAATAGAGGAGATTACCCTCTGAAGGAAATAAAAATATTTTATCCCAAAATATATTTCTTTGACATATTTTGAGATGGATGCCAGAAGTCCAGCAAATAAAAGTGGCCCTGCAAAGCTGTCTTTTGTGTGGGAAATTTGCATCTATAGAGAATCTACATTGGTACAACCGGGACTTTCCTTGTCTGCAGCTAGGAAAGATGAACTGAGCCAGATACCTTAAAGATCTGAAAGAAACATTTACCATCTATTCTCTCTGAGGGCTGTTACCTGTGAGATCTCAGCTACATAACAAGACCTCCTTTGCTAGGTAGGCTCCCTCTTCTCCCCTTCCCATAACCTATTTTTTCACTAAAACCTGATTCATCACCATAACCTATTTTTGGCCATGCTCTGAATCTCAATTCTTTCTGTAACCTAAAGATGGTATATAAGGTTCGGTCCCCCCTTGGGGGGTTTAGTCTTCATTCTGAAGGTTCTTGTATATACATGTCAAATAAATTTGTATGTCTTTTTGAAGCCACCCTTTATAGAATTAATAAAGAACTACAAGGTAGGAACCATAGTATGAGCCTGAACTCTGCAAAGGTATATGAATACTTAAAAAAAAAAAAAAACCCAGTCATTATTCACTAGCTTCTATTCCTATAATTGCTTACTCCTCAGGAGTCACATAGCTGATTGTGATAAAGATTCTTAGCTTTCTTAAGTACACCCAAAGATAACATTGCCCTTGTGAAACCTAAGGCTGATCTTTGAGACATATTCCAGCCCTGCATTCCAGTGGACCAAATAACCAGACCAGTGACCCATGCCAAGGAACTGACTCAGTACAAGAAGACAATTTCTACACCTGTATGATTTCACCCCCAACCCAACTGATCAGCAATACTGATTCCCTAGCCCCCTGCCCACCAGTCCATCCTTAAAAACCACAGTCTCTAAATTCTCAGGAAGATGGATTTGAGAAATTTCTCCCATCTCCTGACCTTGGTGCCCTGTGATAGTAAACTCTTTCTCTACTGCAACCCTTGCTGTTTCAGTGTATTGGCTTCTACTTGAGCAGTGGGCCACGAACCTGGTTGGGCAGTAACATTTTCTCCTATTAATCAATCTGTCTTATGTCAGTGACTTTCAAGCCCTCAGGGAACCAAGGGCACTGGCCCCTATGCCGCCATAATGTGGGTAGGCTTCACCAATCAGTTGAAGGTTTTAAAAGCAAAAACTGAGGTTTCTCAGAGAAGAAGGAATTCTCAAAGACTGTAACATCAAAATCTTGCTTCAGTAGCCAGCATGCTTGTCTGCCCTATGGATTTTGGACATTCCAGCCCCTACAATCATGGTGAGCCAATTCCTTAAAATAAATCTCTTCACATATAGTATATTGGTTTAGTTTCTCTCGAGAATCTTGACTAACATAGTTATAAACTCAGTTGCTCCTGGAGACCACACAGATAGATGTGGTGTGCTGGGGGTTAATTTGAAGACCATGAGGAATGTCACCTGACTCAGCTAAGCATTGTACCCTTTCAAAGGGGGCAGCTCAGACACTGTGCCAGAAATTGAGACCAGCCAGGAGTACAGGCCCAGCACTGCCAGGTCTTTTGTTTGTTTGTCTATTTTTAAGCCAGAGATCCAGGATTTGATACAAAATTGCCTGAGTTCTAAATGTAGGCTACTAATTCAGAAACCTGTCTTTTAAAGTATCATGTATACCACAATGAAACAATCAGACATATCCAGAATATGGGTTATTTTACAAGACACACCGACCTAGTCCCTTCAGTAGGTGAAGGTCATTAAAATAAAAGACCAGGGCTGGGACACTGCTGTTAGATTAGAAAGATTAAAAAGGACTAACATATGAAGTGTAATAATGTCTATAATTTAATTAAAAATTCCTCTCTCTCTCTCTTTCTCCACAAACACACATAGTACAATGTTAACCATGATTGAAGGTAGATACCAGCTGTATATGTGCTTATTGTGCTATTTTTTGTACAGGTTTGCTGTAGGTTTGAAATATTTTATAAGTAATTTATTTGTATCAAATATTTTATAAGTAATTTTTTTAAAAGCCACGTAACAGAGTAGACTACACACAATATGCCAGTGGTTCCAGTTTGTAGTTGTTAGCAAGTTTCACCATATTCTGCATGGCCCAAAGGGAATTTCAGGAAGAACCAGTAAAAAGGAAGGCTGGATATGCCACACTGTGCAGCTGGGTTGGAGAACATCTTCTGAGGACTCTGTGCAGGGTCCAGCCTGGGACAGCAGGATCTGGCCACCTAGAGGCCTGCGTGGCTTCAGCAGCAGAAAGGATGAGCATGTGGAGGCAGCAGCAGCAGAGATCTGGTGCCTATGATTCATGTGCTCTGGGGAGCTTGACCCAGAGCCAGTATTCAGGTGGGTGAGCACCTCCTTACCCAAAGCCCCAAGGGGTTGCCATTGTGTTCTCCCCTATCGGCCCTGGGTCCTGTGTGAGCCCTGGGTGGTAGTATTGGCCCTTGTGAGGGTGAAATGACATCAAGAACAGCTCTGCAGTCTGCAAGCCTGTCCTCAGGGATCCACAGTAGGTCATCTCACCGGGAAGTAGGATGAAGACTAATTGGGCTTGTCTTCCCCCTCAACCTCCCAGGAAACCACCCTAGGCACATTTCCAAGTCATGCAGTACGTATTTAAGAGACATTTGTTAAGTGGAGCAAATCTGTTTAAATTCCCAGCTAGCTGTTGGCTGATTAGGAAAGAGGAAAAAAAAAATCAAAAATGAGTATAGTGATCAGGGTCTCTACCAAGCCATCTGCTGGAGTTGGTCTGCACCTTGAAACATTCATTGCAGAGGTGCTGCTGTCCCTCAGTGACCCTCATCCCCCTACCTTGTGTCTTTGCACCGCAGACATGGTCCCTCCTACCCATCAGTTCATCCTCAGCTCTTTCCCCTCCACTTACTCCAGGCTGCTAGCCCTATGCACCCACCTGTTCAGAATACAGTTCCACAAAGCTCTTCACGTGGAATGTCGTGAGGCCCATATGGAGGTCTCCTTTTTAAATAAATGCAAATGTATGCATTTCACAGCTGGTTTGGGCTAAACTAATGCATTTGTTTCCTACTGCTGTTGTAGCAAATTACCACAAATTTAGTGACTTGAAACAAATTTATTATCTAATGGTTCTGGAGGTCAGAAGTCCCAAATCAGTTTCACTGGACTAAAGTCAAGGTGTTGGCAGGGCTGTAGTCCCTCTGGGGTCTCCAGGGGAGAATCCATTTCTCTGCCTTTTCTAGCTTCTAAAGACCACCACCAGCATTTCTTGGCTCATAGCCCCTTCCTCCATTTTCAAAGCCAGTAATGTAACATCTTCAAATCTCTCTCTGACCCTAACTTTCTGCTTCTATCATCGCATCTTCTCCTCTCACTTGGACCCTCCTTCCTCCCTCTTATAAGGACCCTTGTAATTACATTGGCACACCCAGATAATACAGATATTATAATTTGTTATTTATAATAATCTCACCACCTCAAGATCCTCAACTTAATTACATCTGCAAAGTTCCTTTTGTCATATTAAGTAACATATTCATAAGTTCCAGCGAAAAGGACCTAAACATCTTTGGGAGCCGCTATTCTGCCTACCACAACTAAAGTGTGCACTACATAATAACTCTAGAATAAGGGCTTTTAATCTCTTGCTTGATATCAACTTTTGAATGCTGACATGTCTAGCTGGATTTTTAAAGAGCAGCCTAAATAGTCCTTTTCATCGAGCATCACAATGTTCTGTCATAGTTGCTTAGTAACTTTAAAAGTCTTTTGCTTTTGCTTCTTTTATAGAACTGTTCTCTCCGATTTCTAAGCTTTAACCTTTTTTTTTTCCCCTACCCAATTATTAACTGAACTGTCCTTTATTTTTCTTTTTTTAAAAATTTTAGAGACAAAATTCATTAAGAATTTAACTACTTGGATAGCATACGATTGAGAATTTTTAAAAAATTATGGCTCATAACCATATAGGTTATGAGCCACATAATGATGTTTTGGTCAATGGCGGACCAAATATATGACAGTTCTGTAAGATTATAATGCTGTATTTTTACTGTACCTTTTTTATGTTTAGATACACAAATACTTACATTGTGTTACAGTTGCCTACAGTATGCTGTACTGGCTTGTAGCCTAGGAACAATAGGCTGTACCATATGGTCTAGATGTGTAGTTGGCTATCCCATCTAGGTTTGTGTAAGTACAATCTATGATGTTCACACAATGATGAAATTGCCTAACAATGCATTTTCCAGAATGTATCCCTGTCATTAAGTGACATATGACTGTATAATCATTGGTGAAAGACCAGTACTTAATAAAATCTGTCAAAGTTTGTATATTTGCCCCATGCTTTGAGATAGATATTTTTTATGATAGATATTATTTATAAAATAATACAGCAGCTTTAATTTTTCACTACAGTGAAGGATGCAATAATATCTCTGCAAAGATAAAAGCTGACTTGCTACATTGACATTTTTCAGATAAATTAGAATGTCAGAATTTTCAGCCCAACCTCTAACTCCAGGTGAATTCCAACAAAGTTTATGTATCCATCTTTTTTTTTTAACCCCATAAATAATTTATGTGTTTATATGGTAAAATATAAAATATAAATATCTGTTTTAATGAGTAAAAGAGCCTGTTCGATGTGAGACATATTTCTTTTTTTTTTTTTTTATTTCGGCATATTCTGGGGGTACAGATTTTAAGGTTTCAATAAATGCCCATTTCCTGTAGTACCTATGTGACCACTTAGGTGCTGTTCAGTTAATACCAATTTGCTGGTGAGTATAGAGACATATTTCTTTTTACAGAGTCTCTTAACCTAGTTTTAGAAGTGAAACACAAGTCTTCCACTTACTGTAAGCAGTGATGTCCATACATACAGGCTAGCTATATTGGGGAAGAAGAGGGAAATTCCTACAAGATTTGCTTTTCCCAAATTGAGTATCGCCATACAGTTTGTAAATTACTATTGACTATGTGTTATTTTAGTTCACGTATCTCTTTTTCCTTGTCATAAATCACTTTGGTGTTTTCCTTGGAATTTGAATTAATCTAAGATGAAGTGTTATTGGAACATTTGGCAGAAATTCAGGAAGCAGCTCTTGAGCATTTTGATACATGTAAATCCACGAAGGCTATGGTAAGATAGAATATGTGTGGACAGAATAGTTTTGTAATTTCTCAGCTATATGAAAACAGTGCCTGGAATCTTTGCAGGAATTTAAATATGTCAATTTTTAAACAGACATAATTTTTTTACATGGCTTGTCTTCTTTTTGGTCACTCCCCTTCACCCTCACAAATATATACACACTCCGAAGACCCTCACCCCAACGCAGCCAGGAATGAATGGGATTCAACTTTATTTCTTCCAGAGTAGATTGCCAAAGATCACATCATCAGCCTGGCATCCAGAATGGGAAGAGAGCTGCTCCTTAAGAAAATTATGATAAGACCTTAGCCAGTACACACTTAAGAAAGTATCCACACAGCTTAGAGAAACTATTTTTCCAATTAGGTTGTTTTGCTAATTATTGTTTGGACTCAGGGAAGATATGGCAAAACAAAGAGAGAGTTGTAACCTCTGCAAAATGAAAATTCAATCCCTTCTCTTTGTTCTGAAGCAGTGCTAAAAAAAAAAAAAAAAGATAAGAGCCCATCAGACTAATTGCCAGTACTGTTTTTCATTCACTCATTTATGTGGCCATTCAGGTTGGAGAAGGGATGTGTACAACCTCTTTTCAAATATTTAGGGGGAAAAAGTTAGATCCCCGTATTCAGGCTACACTGTGGTAAATTCTAGATGAATGAATGATTTACATGAGGATAACAACAAAAACCTAGAAGGATGAGTATTTTTATCATCATGAGACAGGAAAGGTCTTTGTAAGCATAAAGCAACACCAAGAAAATCTAAAAGAAAAGAGTGATTTGAAAAGTTAAACTATCTACATGATAAAATATACCCTAAACAAGGTTAAAGGACAAGTGAAAGATGGGGATTATATTTGCAACATAGATAGCAGAAAGATGAACAGTTAGGAAGAATGGTGCCAGAAGGAAGAATTTATGGGAGTCAATGCAATGTCAAGTCAACTCTGGCCACAGTAGGGACACTCTTTATGTACTCATCCTCATTTTGATACATTTCCTATAAAATAGTAAAATGAGGTTCTTTTGCTCTCAGAGTTTTGGCAGAGGTCCCAAATCTGAGACCCAAATATTTCAGTACTCTAGAGGAAGGCCATCTAGGCAGAATGTGCTTAGAGGCTGTGACCTCTGCTCTGCTGGCATTAGTCCAGTGCCCATCCCCAGGTGATATAATAGAGAGGATCGGAGATGTCAGGATCGAGAGCATCTTTGTAGAGAGATGTCTGCGTGCAGGGATGGTGTGGAGGGAGGAGAAGGAATATTTCAAACCAACTAAGGGGCGCTGGAAGAGAATCTATCAGAGAAGTTGACATGTGTTCCCCAGAGTATGAAGGAACACATAAAAAGAGAAGAGGAGATGATCTCTAGCTTGCTCCGCTGTAGCCGTGGAGCAGAGAATTTTATTGGTCATGTGTTGTACTTCTACTGGAAGTCTTTGAAGAAGCTGTAAAAATGCTTCGGGAAGAGAGAGAATTAGCATTTAAATTCTGCACCCCGAAAGGACATTGAGGCCAAATTACAACGCACCAATCAAATAAGGGGTTTCTTCCTTTCCCTTTGTTACACTGGATTTCAACCATGGCAGTGCCCCAAAATCAGGTCAGACTGACTGGTGGAGGAGGTGAAACACGCATGAAAGAAGAAACAACCTCTCCTTCCCCTTCCCTCACTGATAGTTTCCTAGTGTGGGGTAGGCCAGAGTGAGAGGAGGAGAGAAACTTTAAATAGATTTCTGGAGTTTTGATAGTATACCGGGTGCCAAACACAACCAATGGATTTTTATTGTTAGCCGAGCGTAACTGAAAAAGCCATGAGATTTTTCTGGAGGTTTTGTCCAGGAGCAGGAAAGTACGAGTTGAGAGAACTAGTTTCATGGCCTCGTGGTGGGAAAAAACACTGTGGCTTTCTGTTTCCACCTTTTCAAGTTTCAGTTTATTTATTGAGTCAGATCTGTGTTAAATACAAAGGGTCTTTCTTTCAGAGAATGTGTGTGTGTTCTGGATCCTGTCCTCTCTTCCGTTTTCAGGGATGTTGTCTCCTTCTCTTGTGCCCTGTTGACTTCTTCACTGCTAGATCTTTCCCACCAGCATATAAAATGACTTAACATTGCCTATCTGAAAAAAAAAAAAATGACCCCATGTCCCCTTTAGCTACTGCTCAGTTCCCTGCTTCTGTTCACCCAAAAACTCCTGGAAAGAGTCATCTACCTTCATGTCTACTATGTTTCTTCATCTCTCCTTTCTCTGCAGCCCCTCCAATGGGCTCTCATCTGCACCCCACTGCTGAATGGGCATTTATCAGCACCAATAGTTCTTCACCTGCATTTTATTTGATTTCTCAGCTGCATTCTATATGGTTGGCTGATTCCTCCTCCTCGGGATATGTTCTTCACTAGGCTTCTGTGCTACGTATTTATCTGGCCTCTTCCTCTCCTACTGGCCATTCCTCATCTGCTAGCTTTTTCTTCTCCATCAGACCTTCTTCTCATCTTGGTCAACATTCTCCTTCTAGGCAATTGTATCCAGTGTGGGGGCTCCATTGGACAGGGCTGATGTAAAACATTTCCCTCCTTGCAGAAAGTTTTACTGATCAGTGCTGGTCTAAGAGAAGCAAACAAAATGCCCTCACTATTAAGTAAAGCTGACTTTAATCAGACTCAATAAAAATAAAGAGGAAAAATCAGGGGCATCACATCAGTGTGTGTGTGTGTGTGTGTGTGTGTGTGTGTGTGTTTATTAAGGAAATTCTTTTGGTTGTGACAGAAAATCCAACCTAAATTGTCATAAGAAAAAAGGAATATTTTGGCTGATACATGCTGAAAAGTCTAAAGGTCCAGGGAGCTTCCAATGCAACTGAAATGAGGGCTTAGCCAGTGTTCCCAGGATCCCTTTCTCTGCTCACCATCCTCTGAGCTGGCTCTACTTTCAGCTCTGCCTATTGACTCCTCATGTATAGAATATATTATAAGTATCTGTTTGTGTGTGTATATATAAAGAGATTTATTATAAGGAATTGGCTTACATGATTATGGAGTGATCTGCAGAGTGAGTCAGCAATATGGAGACCCAGGAGAGTTGATGGTGTAGTTCCCGTGCAAGTCTGAAAGCATGAGAACAGGAGAACCAGTGATGCGGTTCCAGTCCAAAGGACCCAGGAAGTGCCAGTGTTTCAGTTCAAAGGCAGTTAGGCAGGAGAAATTCTCTCTTACCTGGGGGAAGGCCCACCATTTTGTTCTAGTCAAGACTTCAACTGATACCAATATCCAAAAACATTGTCACACCCAGGATAATGTTTGACCATGGGCATTCCATGGCCCAGTGAAATTGATACATAAGATCAACCAGCACTCTCTCTGGACTTTATTGGCCATGGTGCATTTTTGACCTCTGAAGCCCAACTATAGGGCCATCTACAAATGGGTTGTGAATAGAGATAAGATAGTCCTGGCCAGGCGCGGTGGCTCACGCCTGTAATCCTAACACTCTGGGAGGCTGAGGCAGGAGGATTGCTTGAGCTCAGGAGTTCGAAACAAGCCCGAGCAAGAGCAAGACTGCATCTCTACTATAAGTAGAAAGAAATTACCCAAGCAACTAAAAAAGTTAGCCAGGCAGGGTGGTGGGTGCCTGTAGTCCAAGCTACCATGGAGGCTGAGGCAGGAGGATTGCTTGAGCCCAGTAGTTTGAGGTTGCTGTGAGCATGGCTAATGTCATGGCACTCTAGCCCAGGCAACAGAGTGAGACTCTGTCTCAAAAAAAAAAAAAAAAGGTAGTCCTCATATGGGAAAATTGTAAGAATATTGCCCAAGAAGATAGAGTGGAAGCAAGGGGCAAAAAACAAGTATCTACTATAAGCTGTTAATATATACATTTGAAAGTTAAAGCAAAAATGGAACCCAAAAAACATTAATTGAGGGATTGCTATGTGCTAGGCACTGTCCTAAGCACTTTATATTACCTCTGAGTTGATGGACTTATTGAAAATATTCACTTGTATCTTTTTTCTTCTCCTGTAGACTTACAATAAACAGAAAAAGCATCCATTTTTCTTCATCCCTTATCCTCAACCCACAGTAAGAAACTATAATGGGATTATATTTCTAAAGATAAGAACTCTTCTTGTCCCCGTGGGGAGTAAAGTCTTTCTAAAATGTAGTATCTCTGATCAAGAGAGCGAATTTGATGGGAGGTGGTAGGTCACATCACTTTGGAGACAGTTCTAAGAACACTTATCTACTTTTTCTTTTCCTTTTAGACTGAATTCCTGATTTGTCCAGCCCAGAGTGAAGAAACATAGTAAAGTGAGGTGGAAAAGTTTATATAAGATTGATATTATTTGTTCCTTAAATATTTATAAAGATTCACCATTATAGCCCCTGTGAAAAGATTTTTAATTTCTTTTAATTTTTTAGTAGATATAAATTATTCAATTTCATAGATATAGCCGAATTCAATATATAGATTTAATTACTTTAATAGATATAGAACTATTGAAATTTTCTGTTTCTTCTTGTGTGCATTTTAGAAAGTTTATTTTTAAAAAGATTTTATCTCAAGTTTTAAAATAAAGTGACACAAGATTGTTTATAATCTGCTGTTACCTATTAAATGTCTATAGTTATATCCCCTCTTTTATTCCTGATATTGGTAATTTACATTTTCTCTCTCATTTTTTTCTAGATAAGTTTTACCAAGGGTTTATCTATTGTATTAATATTTTCAAAAAACCAACTTTTGGCTTTGTTTGCTTTCCCTCTTATATGTTTCTTGTGCCTATTAATTCTGCCTATCAGTATTTTCTTTCTTCTGTTTTCTTCAGATTACATTTATCTGAATTAGGTTTATTGTTTTTCAATATTTTCTTCTACCCCCCCAAATATGCATTTGCATTTGGAACTGTAAATTTTCTTTTTGGCATCACTATTTAATACACTACTTTTTTAGTGTCATTCATTCAATCCATAATATTTTCTACTTTTATTTTTTGACCCTTGAGTTATTAGAAGTATATTGCATAATTTCTAAATATTTGGGAGATTTTTAAATTATTTTTCTCTGATTGATTTATATTTTAATTCTGCTGTAATCAGAGAACATATTCTGTATGATTTGAATCCTTTGAAAAAAAAAGTAAGACCAATACACAGTGTATTTTGGTAATGCTTGCTGTTAGTATAATGACATTAGCTCTCTTTTGGTAACATCAAGAGGATGATGTGTAGCTTACCATCCTTTCATTCTCACCCTTTTTGTATCTCTAAATGTATACTAATTATTGTCTACAGCATGTAGTTGAGTTTCTAAAATTTATTTAATCTAACAATCTTTTTAAAAAAATTTAATTGTTTGGATTATTCATATTGAATGGAATTACTGATATAATTGGGTTTAAGTCCACCATCTTGCTATTTACTTTTTATTTGCTCATCTGTTCTTTGTTTATTTATTCTTCCTTTCTAGTTTTCTTTTGGATTAATCAAGTAGGTTTTATGATTTCATTTTCTATTTAGTTATTATATGGTTAGTTACAAATTATTGTATTAAATATTATTCTTTTAAGGTTTCTCCAGAGATTATAATATACATTCTTGACTTAGTACAGTTCATCCAAATCTTTGTGTTGTCGCATCTTTTATTTGTACATGGTATAATGCCCACAAAACATTGTTATTATTATTATTATGTGAAAGTCAATAGTATGTTATATTTACCCACATATTTATACTTTCCGATGTTCTTCATTCCTCCTTTCAGTTCGGTGCTTTTATATGATCATTTGTCTTTAGCTTTAAATTTTTGCTCTAATTGATCTGGTAGTGAAGATCAGTTGATGAAAAATTCTGTCATTTTTATTTGTATGAAAATTTCTTTATTTTGCCTTCATTTTTAAATGATATTTTAAATAAGTATAGAATTCTAGATTGACAGTCTTTTTTTCCAGCACTCTGAAATGTTACCTCTTTGTCTCCTGGCATCTATAATTTATGATGAAAAGTCAACCATTAGTTTTACTGTTGTTCTTTTGAAGTTAATGTTTTCTTTTTCCTTTCATGCTTTTAAGACTTTCTCTTAATTCTCGATTTTTAGAAGTTTGATCAAAAAAAAAGTAAGTGTTGTTGTTGCTGGGTTTTTAAAAAATTCATTCTGCTTAGAATTTGTTGAGCTTCTTGAATCTGTGGATTAATATCAAATTTGGAAAAATTTTGGCCATTCTTTCTTCAAATATTGCTTCTGCTCCAATTTATTTCTCTTCTTCTTCTGGGATTCCAATTAAATATGGTAGACTTTTTGACTTTGTTTTATAAGTCTCTTATGCTCTGTTTTGTTTTTATTCATTCTTTCCATTTGTGCTTGAATTTGTATACTTTCTATTATCCTATCTTAAAGTCTAACAATCTTATCTACTTCTTTATCCAGTCTGCTGTTAAATGCATCCAATGTGTTTTTAACCTCAGGTGTTATATGTTAGATAGAGAATGTCCATTTGATTCTTTGACATAGATTTTAATTCTTTTGAAATCTTTTATCTTTTCATCCATTTTCCCCTTTTTCCTATTTCATATAATATATTAATCAGTTTTTTAAAAGTCCTTATCTGCTAGCTTCAAAATCTGGATTATCTGTGGGCCTGCTTTTATTGTTTATCTTTTCTCTTGATTATAATTATTAGTCACACTTTCCTGCTTCTCTGCGTGTCTAGTAGCTTTTTATTATAAGCCATACATTGTATATAAAAGCATGACAGAGCATCTAATTGGTGTCTTACACTAGAGAAGGTTTCCACATTCCTCTTTGGAAAAGCAGATAGGATAAGGGGGGTTATCTTTGAGCTGGGTAGGGGTTAAGTTGCAGCTTTAGTAAGACTTAGTCCACTTCTGATTTTTCTCTGTTCCTCAAACATAGCTCTTCTGGGCTTTTGATTAGAGCCTGCAGAAATGCTATCTTTTCAGTTCTGAAAGATTGTGGGGATTTTAGTGCTGTACTTTAGAGGTTTTGAATTTAGCTCTTTAACCTCCCATCCCTTGCCCTGTGACAACTTCAAAATTTAGATGTCCTAATGGATGCCTGATAAGACTTCTTTCTCTAGTTAGACTTTTTCTCCTTAGTACTATGAAACTAGACGAGATTTTATTATGCCTGTTGAAAGCCATCAACCAAATGTCCCGGCCTTCTTTGCATAGCCCCTACAATCAGAAGATGTCCCATGGGGAAAACCAGCTATGGCTTCGGCACTTTTCAAGTTTCTAGTTTCTTTCACCAGTACCACGTGACTGCTGAAAACCTCTCTGGTTTCTCTTTCCCCAAACAGATTCCTTCTTTACAAGCCAAGTCTAATTATCAGTCCATACCCAGAATTGTAAAATGTCCCCAAGGAAGAAAATAACTGGTCATTTATGTAGGCCTCATTGCTTCCTCATTTTCTGAGATCCCTAAAAATGTGACTTTTATAATTTATCCGGATCTTTCTAATTGTTTCAATGGGAATTCTGGTCTGCCATGACCTACTACAATTTATTTAGGAATAGCAGTCCCATGATCCTCATGTTTTAAGGGTAAAGGCTCACTAAATATGATTACAACTTCAAAAACTGAAAAGGGCCATGACCTGCCTCTAGTACTTGCTTTCTGGGAGAAGTTAGGTTACATTGATGATCTAGACTTGGGCTCTCAATTGCAGTGGTCCTGAGCAAATAAGTAGCATGGCCTTGGGAGCTATTGCTAAACTTGACACAGGGAGGAAAGCTGTGATAATGAATGGGAAGTTTTGAATAAACCATGTATACTTAGAGTAACAACCATATAACTATGCAGCAATTAAAATTGATAAAATGCCCGGACCCTTTCATTTTCCTTAATATAAATTCAAATACATTCTTTCAATAAGCACTGGATTGTAGCAAAAAAACAAAAAGAAATAAGAAGAAAAGAGAGAAATTTTAAATATAAAAAAATAAAAAAATAATTTCAAATACAATCCAAAGGTAGGAAAGGAGTCCTCCCATCTTTTCATGGGTCGTGTTAAACAAGATTAAATTTAATTCAGAAAATTATAAAGAAATTTTTACTTTGTTTCACATAGGGAAACATATTTATTGAACTCTTATTCATAGTGGTATGACCAGGCAACTAGGTACAAAATTGATTCAGAGCTGTGGGATTCTGAATATAAAGTTTTATGACTACCTTAGGTTTATTTTGCTTATATTTTTTCATATATACCCATATGTGTATGTATGTATATATATAGTTTGTATATGTATAATATAATATATATACAATATATTTTTTACTCTACCTTCTCTTTTTAGTCATTGCTAATACCGATGGAAGCTTACTATTTTTATTGAATTATGTTTTTTATTTTATATATGTTTTTTCAGAATAATATTTGCATTTCAAACCAGAACCACGTGACTTTATACCATGACTTTACTAGGTTTTAGCTGTTTGTTTTGCTTCATGTTTTGGTCAGTTGAAGTATGTCTTCAAGTTATTTCTTCTAGAAGACATAGTAGTGTTTTATATGTACTTGAATGCCTCAGCATGTCTTCTCTTGTCTTCATAAATGAAAAATAGCCTTGAAATCCTCAGGCTACACATTTTTGTCCCCAAAACTCCAGGGCAGGGAGTGGTTCTGTGCCTTAACTGAACATTGAAACCTCCCGGGGAGCTTTGAAAATTGCCAACGCCTGGCTCCCTTCCCCAGAAATTCTGATTTAAGTGGTCCGAGAGGTGACCTGGACAGCAGGGTTACAAACAAAGCAAACGACTAAAGTAAAAAATGCTCTTAAGATCCTCCTGTAGGCCAATTAAGCCAGAATTTCCGGGTGTGAGGCTTGGGGGTCAACGCATTCTTTCTGTTTTGTGTGGAACATTCCCAAGTTTGCCAACTATACTGTCAGTTTCCTGCAATGTCAATTTTGTTTTTTTATTGCATCAATGTGGATTAACATTTTGCTTTTACATTTTTAGACTTTTTGTAATCCTTTCTTTCCTGTCATATCTCTCTTTTTCTCTTATCCTGTGGTCTTTTCATGCCAGCAGATCACTTCTTATAGCTTTACCCCTTTTCACTGTGGAAGTGAGTCATTTAACATTTACAAAACAGTTTTCTGCAGTTTTGTCTGTGTTGTTCAGGAGATGATTTTTGGAGACTTGCTTTTCTTCTATATCTCCAGGATGATACTCTCCTTTATTTTTTATTTTATTTTTTTTGTCAGACCCCTGGTTTTGTTGTTATTATGGTTTGGATCATAGGTGCTTTCTCCTTTTTACTCATTTCAGATAAGCCAAAGCTGATCTCATTGGCCCCACTCTCAGGCAATGTGGAGATAGGTGATGAATTCTCTCAACTCTCCTTCTGTAATACAC